CAAACTCTCACTGTGGACAAAGAACCAGACATATAGAAAAATGGAAAACATACCCTGCTCCACAGAAGAGAGCAGATGTAGCCGAGAGACTTACTTGGATCTAATCACTGGGGCAGCACTCGACTTGTTTCCGGACAGTCCTCACTTCACGGATGTCATCTGTACCCGCTCAGTGGATTTACAGTAAGGCTCCACTTTGATCATATTAGCTAAAAGCCACAGCCACAGCTGGTCTTAAATTATCCATCATTTGCTGCTTGCTATAAGAGGCTTCTTGAAAATGACACACTCAACACACACTGTCTCATTCTACAATTCTACAACACGCCAGGGAAAGCCACCCAATGAGAATCATAGTTGCAGGCTGTCTGTAAACCTCAATCACTGAATCAAAGAGTCAAACACATAAAACAGCTAGGAAGTTCAACTCTTACTTATACAAATCTTAAACATCAGGAATGTAAAGGGCTGGGGATTTAGCTCACTGGCACTGTGCCTGCCTTGCAAGGGCAAGGTCCTGAGTTCCATCCCTGGTACCACAAAAAAAGACCAAACAAACAAAACAAACAAAAAAACAAACACAAAACAACCAGGAATGCAAAACTGCATTGTAATGATCCAAAGCCCTATTAAAAGGGAGTCGGGGGCAGGGATTTGGCTCAGTGGTTCCACCACCTGCCTTGCAAACAAAAGGTCCTAAATTTGATCCCCAGTTTAAAAAAAAAGATTGCTGAATTTTAAGCTGGGCGTGGTGGCGCACGCCTATAATCCCAGCACTCAGAAGGCTGAGGCAGGAGGATCACTGTGAGTTTGAGACCAGCCCAGGCTACATAGTGAGTTCCAGGTCAGTCTCAACTACATAGTGAGACCCTGTCTCAAAAAAGGAAAAGGAAAAAGGACTGGGGGGACCAGGTAGGACAAGCCGCTCTGCAAGTACCTGTCTGAATGAGCCACTCAGCCAGCAGGTTCACAGTCTGGGCCACAGCAGTGTAGTTCTCAGATAAGAGCTGGATGACGTTCTCCGGAGACCCTCCAGCCTGAAAATACCTGGGGAGAGCAACAGAGCAGCTGTCACACTGGCCTGGGTGTAGATAATCTGGGTTGGACAGGGAAGTAAGGAAGAAGGTAATTAGTTTTCAGATGTTTTAAATGAGGAAACTCCAGAAGCCTTCCGTTTCAAGAAGGTTATCTTCTGGGTCATTTCACAAAACTCTCAACTATCCCCTCCCCCATGCACAAACACTGCCCTCACCTACCTCTTCAAAGTGTTGAAGATGGAGGGCTCCATGATATAGTCCCGGGTGGAAAACTTATGCAGACATTCCTGCTGCACCTCTGCATCATCTTCTCCTTCTCCAGAATCATCTTCCTGCTGCTGGGGAAGGCCAGGAGCCAGGGCAAATAAATACCCTGCAGTCTTCCCTTACACCTGTATAACGCTGTCCATCTGAAAATGTTCCCCATACAATTCTTTTTTTTTTCTTTTTGATACAGGGTCTCACTGTTTATCCAGGCTGCCTCTGAATTCACTATGTAACCCAGGCTGGCCTTGAACTCTGGGTGATCCTCCTGCCTCAGCCTCCCAAATGCTGGGATTACAGGTCTGCGTCACCATACCCAGCTAGTTTTATTTGACTTCCGTGACTATCTCATGAAAAAAGGCAGGAGGAAGGGTGAGAAGCTATGAAAATGGGATCCAGAATCATACCAAGTGGGATGTATAATCCCCTTGGTAAACTGTACTGCAACCACCCAGGCCACCTCACCTGAGTGGCCAGGTCCCCTTCGGTTGGCTGGGAGGATCCCATTAACTAATTTTTGGAAGGGCCAAACACTATACCAGACATTTATTAAGAGTTCAATAGGTATTAGCTACTTTTATTGCTGTTACTATTTCATACTAATCATTTTATGCTTTCAACAAAGATTAACATAGTGACTCTTGAAGGTCTGGGCTGTCAATTTAGTGAGGAACTAAAAAGTGCTAACCTGCTTCACTTCAGCAGGCCTGACTGGGTTCCAGTCTTATTTCTGAGAGGAAGCAACCTTAGGCAGGCTGCTTGACCTCTTGACAATCATGTGAAACCAGCTTCTGGGCAAACGACTAACTTGGGCCAGGGACCAGTAAATGTGGCCAAATTCCTGTTTTTTTGTAAATAAAGTTTTATTTACACCTATTTTAGCTCGTATCGTCTATGACTAAAACTGTAGAGTTAAGCAGTTGTGGCAGAGGCCTGTACAGCCTAGGATATTTATTAGCTGGCCCTTTATAGAAGTTCCGCCACTGTAAATAATCTGAAAGCAATGTTTTGGAAGCAGACGGAGCATGATGGCTTCACTGAAGACCAAGGAAGTCTTTTCTGAGAGTATTTGTCACAGAAACCTTGAGGAAGGCCAGACTTCAACCTGAACCTCATTTTCACGTGTCTGTCTGCTTGAGCTTCTACCCTGGGCTTCCATTTCCTGCTACTACCTTTCGCACTGTACATCTACCTGCTCACACATCAGGTCTCATTCTTAAACTCCAGACTCATGCATACAGTAGTCTATTCTCATTTCTACTCAACACGCCATTAGTACAACACACTCCTGAGGTCCAACATTGATTTTGTCCTTCACTGATAACAGATCTTCCCACAAATCATGTTTTAGTACAGGGCCCTTCTACCTATTACTTTGGAGTCATCCTCAATTTCGCCTCCCTCATCCTACCGTTACCTGCAGTTCCAAAGACCCAACAACTCCTTCTCCCACACATCAGCCCAATTTGGCCCTTCTTTGCATATTTACCTTCATCTTCCTTACTTCTCTAATGCTCATAGTAGCAATAGTCCCCATATGCCTCTGCCTCCATCATCCTTCCTTGCAATTATCTTTCACACTGGATGCTACAGTGAGCTTCATGAGCCACAATGTCCTTGGCTCCCTATCTCCTTCAGAAGTATCCAAGCGCTAGCCTGACCTTGGCCTTCCCACTTGTTCACATCTTACGACTCCCCTTGTTTAACTGCAGCCAGGCTAATCTATTACAGTTCTGGACTTAACAACATGGTGCCTCCTTATACACCTTCCTGTCTCTCTAAACCATGTAAAATGCTGTCAAGTGAACACAATGGCGGTCATCAGCTATCTTTCCAAATCCAGCTAATGCTACTAACTTCCCCTCATCTCCCTGAAGTTTCCCTCTTCCAAGCAGCTGGAAAGAACATGAAATAAACATGGAGCCCATCTTTCTCATCAGTAAAAGCCCAGTTTGGTCAGTGGGCCAAATCAAGGGCATGATTAAAGTTCTCTAAACATGAGACTTCCTGACCAGCCTCAGTGAGGTCTAGGCGTGGCTCTGCTACTCTTAACTGCATATGCTGGGGCAAGTAACTCAGGTGCTGTCTACAAAATGACAGCACAGCGTTCGGCGTCCCAGAGGTGTGCTCTAGTTCTAACACTTTATAACTCAAATTCTCATGTGACCACCAGGCTAATCCAGACCTTTTACATTTTTCTCACCTGGGGCTCCTCAGCTGTCAGCAGTTTAGTGAAGTAACACTATGAGACACAAGAAACAGGTTTGGATCCCCATTTCTTAATTAGTTTCGTGACCCTGGGCAGGTCACTTAAGTCTTTTTGTCTCACTTCTTTCACTTATGAGAAGAGTATACCCAACCGGAAATCCTGAGTACGGAATGAGAAGATTCATGAAGACACTCAGCGCAGACTCCTGATTAACTAAGCCTGACTCTATCCCTTCCACTAAAAGTTCCCAATGCAGTGGGATGAGGCAACATGAGAATCTACTCATGCCATGCCATGCCCTGCCCAAATTCAACTGGTCAGCAGCTCTCCAAGGCCTTTGGGAATCTGGTCCCTCAACCTCTGCCCCACCAAGCAACGGCCCCCTCAAGACTTCCTTTACTTCCAGAAACAATCGGCATCTTCAGTGCCCTCTCAGCACCACCCGGCTCGAGGAAGTCAGTCCCATGTAATCCTTTATTCCTTCAAAACAAAATCTTGGTTCCTGTTATAAAGTTACACTCCCAGGATCCCCGGCACAGAGCAGCTAGCTGTATGGCAAAGGAGAGCCTCCTCTGAATTCCCAATCGTCTTCAGAGGCGAAGAGAATGCTGCCCCGGGTCCCACCCCAAACCTGGACGGTCAAGGAGCCAAGATCCTTTCCGTCGTCTAATCCAAGGATAGATGGAGTTAGTCCAAAATGCCGAAAAGAGTTTGATTTACCCCACAGCAGAACTCAAGAAGTTCCACTTTCCTCCTCTCGAGGGGTGCTGGGATTGCAGGCTGGAGTTTGTTTCACTTTGTTTAAAACTGTGCAGCTCCGGGCTCTCTGCCCCACCTTAGAGTTTGTATCCCACCCGCCTCGGAGCAGGAAGTGCCAATGCCTAGCTCGAACACGTCCGACTCGTCAGTCTTCGAGTCCATAAGGGACAACCAGCGTGGGGAGACTGAGGCAGGCCGGCTTACGCCCCCCGGACGCCCCAGCCCGGTCCTCTAGGTCCCGGCGAGGGCGGGGCTGGCCCGGTGGCGGCACGGAAGGAGTCCAGTTAGAGGGCGCCCGGCGCCCCCTCTCACCTGGCCGCCGTCTGCCTCCTCACCCCACTCAGCAGTATTCCCGAAGTAGTCTTCGGCCATGATAGCACCGGGCCTGCCAGGCTTCGTGAGTCCTCCCCGCGCATGCGCGGGGTGGTTCTGGGCGGGAGGACGCAGGCGCCCATTGTTGTCTTCTTAAAGAGAAAAGCTTTCTGCAAATAAG